GGTGGCCGGGAGCGGCCACTGCACTCCAGTCTGGGCGACAGAGTGAGACTCCAACTCAAAAAAAAAAAAAAAAAAAAGAAAGTAACAATAATAGCTGCTGTTTGTTGCGAGCTTACTATGTGAAAGGCCCAGTCTTTTCTCTGTTAACCTGTACAGTAGCCTTCGAAGACTGATGCTGTCACCATCCTTGTGTAACAGATGAAGGACGTGGTGATTCAAAAAATTAAAGAATTTATTCAAGATCATGAGCTAGAAAGGTCAGTGCTAGCTAGTTTTTCAACACCCACTAGCTATTTTGCCTCCAACAGATGAATGACTGCTCCTTGAGATCTTTCCGAAATCAGTACTTAACAAGCCAACACTGTCCCTTCTCACAGAGAACACTTCAGTATCACCACTTAAGTAGGACAGCAGGGAGCACTCAGCACCTGCTCTCACATCCAGCATCTGATTCATTTCAGACAGGTGGTTCTCAATCTAAAGACATTCTTCATTTAAACACACACACACACACACATACACCCCACAGCCATTTGTGATATGCTTGAGGCTCATCGTATTGTATGTGATGTGCATAAGGGAGAATCCCGGAGTCCTTGCCCAGCAACAAGTCCTGTGGCAGTGCCATCATCAGAAGTATCTGGACAGTGATGGGAACCACTTTGAGTACCTCTTGTAATTGCAGAAGTCAAACATGACTTGTATTCATCTTTTGTTATTGGTATATACTGAGTATTATTATTTTAATACAGTTTTTTCTTTCTTTTTTTTTTATTTTACGTTCCCACCAGAAATTTTTCCCATTCTCACCAGTACTTTCTTCCTTTCCTTGATTTGTTTTTGATAATAGCCAACCTGTTGGGTCATACTGTGGGTCTGTATTATTTATTTTGGGGGGGTTGGAGTCTCACTCTGTCGCTCAGGCTGGAGTGCAGTGGCACGCTCATGGCCACTGCAACCTCGACCTGCTGGGCTCAGGCGATCCTTCCACCTCAGCCTTCCAAGGAGCTGGAACTAGAAGCACATGCCACCACACTCAGTTGATTTTTTTATTTATTGTAGCTCACTGCAGCCTTGAACTGTTGGGCTCCAGTGATCCTCTTGCCTTGGCCTCCAAAAGTGCTAGGATTACAGGTGTGAACCACTGTACCCAGTCTGATTCTCCATCTTTTTTTTTTGAGTTAGAGTCTCACTCTTGTTGCCCAGGCTGGAGTGCAGTGGCACGCTCACGACTGCCACAGCTTTGACCTGCTGAACTCAGGTGATCCTTCCCCCTCAGCCTTCCAAGTAGCTGGAACTACAGACGCATGCCTCCATGCTCAGCTAGTTTTTGTGATTTATTGTAGAGACAAGGTCTCACCAAGTTGCCCAGGCTGGTCTCGAACCCTTGGGCTCAGGCAATCCTCTTGCCTCAGCCTCCCAGAATGCTGGAATTACAGACTGAGCCACCGCGCCTGACCGAGTTTTTCCTTTCTTAAAATAAAAAATAAAGACAGACACAAAAACTTTCATGTTTTACAGGCTTTTATTACCAGAAAAATCCTTCCTGAATGTTCAGCCTCTGTTAATCCAGTTTCCTCTTATTTGAGCTGCAGTGAAGAGCTCAACTTTCTTCATCTGCCTTATAATCTTTCTTCCCTATATTTGAAGAGCCAAGCCTCCTCCATTTGGGACTAGTCTCTGCTCCACCTCTGTTCTGTAGCTGTTGTCTGGCCATTGGAATAACCAGTCACTTACCGCTGTAGTCCTACATGTTTTCACATCCGAGATCCTGTAGTCAGCGTGCTGAATGCTTGCCGAGTGTGACTAACCACTTATGAAAGAGCAAAGCGTGATTCAGAGGACTCCACCAAAAAGAATGCCTTATGTGACCTCACCTCAGCCTGGTGCACATTCAGACTTTTGAGTCACAAAGCTTGTTAGAAATGGGGACGTATTTGACTCTAATAAAGATTTTAGTGCAACCCAGATTTAGAGTGGTATATTTTAGGGTAGGCTCAGGGTGAATTTTGGAATGGAGGCAGATGACGTAAGAGAGAAAATAATAATCTTGACAAGAAAGGCTTTATTGCTCTTCTCTCCCCAACTTCTGCATCAAGAGAAATACCAGATTTAGGAAACGTCTTTTTACTTACTAGAAAAAGAAGGCTTTCATGACTCGAGCAGAAGAAGGGATCTATTTGAAGTGACTTCTTTATTTGGAGCATGTTGAAAGCTTGCCCGGAGCCCTCCTGAGACTTCCTCGGGTCCTTGCCTTTGTTAGCTCTGTTTTAGTGTTTGGGTTTTTTTGAGGTGGGGTCTTGCTATGTTGCTCAGGCCAGTCTAGCTCTGTTTTTAAAAAAAACTGCTACATGTCACTGCTGTGATGTTCTCAGTCTTTAGAGCTACTCTGCTGTGGAAGGAACATTGGCTACCACACAGTGTATCTCCCCCTAACTCTCCCGCATTCTTCCTCCTTTCCAAACTGGAGGCAGAAAAGAGGTGCAAGTGGGGGCAGTAGAGGGCGTTAGAGAAAAGGGTGAAGGCTTGGCCTTGGGGAAAGCTAGCCTACCACTCCCTGGAGAGATTTCGGGAAAGAAATGGTCACACTTAGTATATGACCATGACGTTTCAGGCCCTGCATTAGAGCATTTAACATCCATTATTGCATTTAATAGTCCTAACAACTTTAAAAGAGTATATATATTTTAACAGACAAGGAAACAGGCTCAGAGAGGTCAACTCAACCCATCTAGGAAGTGGTGACTCAATCCCCACTCTTACCAATCTACCATGCTTGTCTTAATAAGCGTGGTGAATGACTTCTTTTTTCTAAAGATGCTCCCTCTCCCAGAGGTCATGTCCTTCCTTAACCAGCCCCTTGCTCTTGTATCCTCAGGCAGTTTGGTGGTTATGCCAAGGAAGCAGACTACGTAGCTCATGCCACTCAGCTGCGTGCTGCCCTGGAGGGCACAGCCACCTACCAGAGGGATATCTACTTCTGCACCGGATATGACCCTCCCATGAAGCCCTACGGACGGCGCAATGAGGTCTGGCTGTTGAAGACATGAGTGACTCACTGAGCCGAGAACTTCCTGGAAGTGTGCCTCTGTGTCTCCTTACTCAGGGGGCAAGAGGGGACAATGCTTCCCAAGTTCCAACTGCAATTCTAGTTAACTAACTTTCTCTCAAAGCCAGTTACTGCCAATTTTCTGAAATAAGTATGTTCCAGATACTGAGATTCTTTTCTCATGGTGGGAAATAATTCAGCCAAAATAGGCAGGATCCTTCTTATTGATTTAGAAAATTCTGTGGTAGACCAGAAAAACCCTGGCAGCATTTTTCCAGCCATCTGGGTCACTAAAAACTGATTTTCTAAAATTATTGAATTTGTATTTTTGCTATTAAGGGGAAAATATGATTTTTGCATGAGCTTTCTTCTGTGATTCTTATAAGAGCTTTGTCTATAGAAAAAACAAATTAAAAATCTTTTGTGACAAACCCAAAATATAAGTACTTCCAAGTTTCTACATAAAGTCTTTTAGGTAATATAGATGTGAGTACTATTGATGGTGTTTACTATACAGGAATCCTATATTTAGAGTTCCCAAGTCCTTCAGAATATAAATCCAAAGATCCTGGGAAGGTCGACTTACATCACAGGCATGATCTTCACATTCCTGAACTAGACATTTACCCTGACTTTTATGTAGCACTTCCATGATCACAAGCTCTAAGGATCATGTCTGCAGCTGTGGTCTGCAAAGAATTCCAGTTGTCAAGAGCAAACAGAGGAGAAAAACATCATGCTCCAATGCATAGAAAACTCTGGAGACAGGAAATTTGCCAGGAGGATTGATTCAGAGTGATGAGGTTAGAAGCAGCTGGGATCCAGTTTCATTAACTGAAGAGGCTAGCAATGAAAGAAACAATGTGCACTTTGACCTGAAGAGAAGGGAAGGGCACACAGAGTTGTGACCAGGAATAGAGGACAGTAGCTGAGCTGGAATGGAGTTTGTGGGTGAGTAGGGGAGGATAGAAGAGCTCAGTGGGCCTCAGGCCATGGGGAGGGTGCTCTGATTCTCACAAGGTATACCAGCACCCAGCTGTGTCAACAGCCCTCCCTAGGAGAGCTGGACAGGTTTTCTAGGAGACACCTGCCTCAACACCCACCCATACCCCATTTGCCAATACTACAAGAAGCAGAAAAATAAGCTTTGATTCTCACCACAAAGAGTTCTTACTGGACATAAAGGGGAATTCCTAAGGAGAAAAACAAGAGCTGTGTCATCATCTAGCCTGGGTCCTTTCAGTAGTCTCTTTTGAGGGATGGGTTATGACCATTTCTGAAGTTCAGGGGTGAAGATCACCAGCCACCAAGTCAGACTCCATGCTGGGTACCTTGTGTGCATCATCTCACTTACTCTGGGACTATTATTATCCCCATACATAGATGAGGAAGCTGAGAGTCCCACACCTCTCACACTGAACTCAGGGACAAGACAAAAATTCAGCCACAGGGGCCTTATGACATGTCAAGGAATTTGAATTTTGTCCTAAGAAAAATGGAAAACACATGAACAACTTTGAGAAGGGACATGACATTATCATGTTTTAGAAGGAAAATTCTGTCCATATTGTGGAAATTAGATTGGAAGAGGATGTGACTGGAGGCAGAGATACCAGTCACAAGACTAAGTAAAAGGTGATGGAAGCTGAAGCTAGGACCATGGCAGGGAGGATGGAGAGAAATGGACAGTTTGGAGCAAGAGATGGGATCAACAGGACTTGGTGATTGACAGGTGAAGGGAGGAGGGAGAAAGTTTGAAGGGGAATAGGACAGTGCACCAAAGTATGCCACTTTGGCATATCGATTATTCTGAGCTGAAGACAATTGAGAAACAGGAGACACAGGAAGGCTCTCTGCCCTCCCCTTTTCTACCTAAAAGCAGTGTGTAAATTTTCTCTGAGAAAGATACTATCCTTTTACCAGTAGCAGGAGAACATTCTTATCACTGGGGAAAGGGAGCCAATCAGATGGCAAGATGAGACTATACAAACAAACCTTACTAAAGTTACCCTTACTGTTCATTAGTTTCTCTCGTGTGTTTTCTAGTCACTTTCTCACAATTTACCACCATGCCCAACCCAAACCCCTTTTTCCATTTTCTTACTTCTCCACAATGTATTGCTCTTTGTTAAAATGGTATTTAATTCTCAAGTCTAAATACATCTTTGGGGCTTTCACTTTTTTTGGAAAGTCCTCCATGGTACATAGTAATATTAACATCAGAGAAAATCTATATGCTCTTCTTCCTGTTAATCTGCCTATGTCAGTTCAACACACAGGTCCAAGCACAGAACTTAAAAGAGTATAGCTGGGCTTGGTGATGTGTGCCTGTAGTTCCAGCTACTTGGAAGCCTGAGGCAGAACCCAGCAGGTTGAGGCTGCGTGACTGTGAACTTGCCACTGCATTCCAGCCTGGGTGACAGAGTGAGACTCCAACTCAAAAAAAAAAAGTAAAGGAAAAGTCTTTCCTCCCCTTCAGGGTCAAGTACAGTGTCCAGGATTTTGACTTGGGCAAGTGGGTGGAGGTGCTGCCTGAGCACGGGTGAGAAGCAGGTTGGTTTGTGAGCATCCAAGTGAGGCTATCTAGTGGACATTTGAAAGTATGAGTCTGCTAACACTATCATAACTGGGGACTTTAATACCCCACTCACAACCCTAGACAGATCATCAGGACAAAAAATCAGCAAGGAGATCCAGAACCTCAATGTGACTTTGGACCAAATGGACTTAATTGATACCTACAGAACACTCCATCCAAAGACCACAGAATACACATTCTACTCATCACCACATGGAACATATTCTAAGATCGACCACATACTTGGCCATAAATCAAGCATAAGCAAATTTAAAAGGACCAAAATTCTACCAAGCACCTTCTCGAACCACAGTATAATAAAATAAACATTGACACCAACAAAGTCCCCCCAAAACCCACAAAGACATGGACACTAAACAGCATGATGCTAAACAACTCCTGGGTCAATGACGAAATCAAAACAGGGATCAAAAGATACCTGGAAACAAATGAAAATGAAGAAACATCTTACCAAAATCTCTGGGATGCCCAG